CCATCAGCCTTGACAAGACAGTAGTGATGCATCAACCTGCCCGATGAATTCAGTATATAGAGACATCAATAAATCGACTTAGGGTAGTAGACAAATGTGTATACCTTAGTAGCACCCTCAACCGTCACTGCTCTCTTGACGATGAGATAGCGTTACGAATTAAGAAGGCCTCTGATGCAATTGCAGTATTCAAGGTCCCTTTCTGGAGTCTGAAGAGCATAAAAAAGCAGACAAAAATTAAATATATAATGCCTGAGTTATGTCATCGTCTATATTCAATTCAACATGAAAAGACGATGGACATAAGAGTAAGACTGGTATTTATTCATACAAAAAGTACAAATTGTGGCACGAGGCCAATAAAGGGGAGGGGTAGAGGCTGGTCAACACTAACTATCTTATACCTAGCTAATCAGATTCGCGACCCATTCGTACATTACATTTTACCCTTCACCAAAAGAACTCGTCCATCACCAAACAATCCTTCAACCACCATAATACCACGTGCTCTCAAGGGAGACCTACAAAATCGCGCCCCATGCCATAAAAATTTTAATGATGATATATATATATATACAATTCTAATAATGATAAAATGAGAGGGAGGAAATGAACCCAATAATAAACTTAAAATAAACACAAATACAAACTAAACATAATTGATGTTAGTAGGGACCGTCCAACCCATAAAACAGAGAAACCGCTGTATTCTGCCCAGGGACAAAATCAAGAGACGCTCTCCCTAAAAGAGGGGAAAAGTATAAAATATTAGGATGGAATGGGAAAATATAAAACTGACCCAGTCGAGATGAAAGGGGGGGGGTTAAAACAAAGTAAGACTAATCAAAACAGATTAAATTTCAATATGATCACGACGGGATCATATTGAAACGGAACGCTGATCTTGAAAAATTTCAGTTATCTGTTTTGATTAGTCTTACTCTTATGTCCATCGTCTTTTCATGTTGAATTGAATATAGTCTAATCTTAATTATGTTTTATGAATATGTCCTGAAGATGGTCTACTAGACCGAAACGTCTGACGTTGACATTATATTAACATTAAAACAGCATAATTGCATATTAAGATTTTTGTTTGTTTTTCCGTATATTTTTCTTCATACATATATATATATATATATATATATATATATATGTATATATATATGTATAAATATATATATATACATATATATGTATACATATATGTATACATATACACACAGATGTATAAATATATTATGGAATCCTCCACATTTGCCTGTCACTCCCTACGGGAAGATGCACTCTTCCCCAAATAAACCTTTAACCAATCATCACTTCACTTTTCCAAAATCAATCCCCTATTGGTTAAAAGGACACTAACATGTAGCAAAGTTGTGACAAATCTTTTTCCCGCGCAGGTCTCTGGAGCCTTTCTGGAAAGTCGAAAATCTATAAAAAGAATCGCTCGACTTAGTTCAAGACAGTCAGACACCGAGTTTCAAGAGATACCAACAGACCCCACGCGTGTCAACACACTGACTCAATAACCACTACCAACCTCTCAACAACTCAACACACCTCGCACAATTATTGCCGCGTGAAGAAACTTAACTTACAATTTACTAAAAAATGACACTATCACTACAAAACAGTAATTGTACATTCAAACAACTTTAGCCTATCAGTTGAAGGCGAACAACTCTTCGTAACTTAAATCAAGACTAGCAGTTGTCACATACATACACACTATCACTTGAACTTCCACAATTGGCAATTTTCCTTGCAGATATCAAATTATTTTAATTCCACAAACAAACTCAAACTATCAACCTTTACTCACTAAATTTCTGCATGGACAATCTTTGTACCTTATCTCACTTGTCACCTTTAATAAGCAACTTATCATTTTGTGTATCTCAAATAATATATATATATAAATTCACGTTATTGTTGAAATCACTAATGACGTTGTTTTCAGTAATTTCTTGAAGTTGAATTGTCTATTTATTTTTGTTTGATTTATTTGTTGTGGATAAATGCATTACGATCACGCACATTCTTGGTCTTCAAAAAAAAAAAATCACCTTCTGATACATCTTACTCAGCATAGATTCCGCAACAATATCTATATATACATACATATATGTACAAATATATATTATATATATGTATATATATATTTATGTTTATATATATATATATATATATATATATATATATATATATATATATATACATACACACACACACACACACACACACACACACACACACACACACACACACACACATATATATATATATATATATATATATATATATATATATATATACTAGCAGTAGAGCCCGGCGTTGCCTTTTGATATAACAGTAAGAGATAGATCAAGTATCGACCATCATAAAGACTGAAAAATAAAATTGACAAAGATTATTGTTTAAGGTTGACGGACACGCATCTCTGAATTAGTTGGGTTTTTTTGTTTTTTTTACGAATTGGTCAAACCCAAACTCAAACAAAAAACATTGTTTTCAATCGTTATGAGTCTCTACCGATTGAATAGAATTTTATTATAAACAATTGTCTTGTAAATGGAATTTTTAAAGCATTCTGAATGTAAAAATAAAGAAAAAAGTGTGCAAGACAATAAGAAACACTACATGCCAAAAAAAATCGGTTGAAAAATGTAGGAAATCCGATCCCATATATAAACGAACACACACATACACAGACAACCTGGCTTTTATAATAAGTATAACTCGATATGAGTTGTCCCCCTTTCATTCTGGCGACAGAATCGTGCTTTATCGTGTTTTCAAATTGATTTCGTGCAAAAACAATTGTGTTTTTCCAATTTTGGGCACTGTCAGAACCACCACAATGTAATTTTACGCAGTCATGTGAAGTTTTGTTGAAATCGGTTGAAAAATGTAGGTAGCCTTTCTGTAATCTTTTAGTTTTACAATTTATGATTTTTACTTATTGAATACAGTAAAAAAAAATTGCATATTTTGCTTGTGGTGATTCATAATTAGAATTCTGATTTGAATATATTTTCCACTCATTGTTTCTAATACAAAAAATATTAACTTTATTTGGGTTTATTAATTATGATCTAACAAATCTTATTCATTTAGTAGCCTTTCTTTCTGTAACAATAATCTTTTACAATTTATGATTTTTACTTATTGAATACAGTAAAAAAATTGGACACCATATGTATTTAAAGTAGTTTCCCGTTCCAGTTATTATTTTTAGTTAGGACTTGTGGATGTTTAGATTTCATTATCTTTCCCTAAAGATAAAGAATTTATGTTTGTATTCGTACAATCAGTAGAGATCGTTAGATTATTGTTTAAGGTTGACGGACACGCATGTCTTAATTAGTTTTTATTTTTTACGAATTGGTCAAACTCAAACTCAAATAAAAACATTGTTTTCAATCGTTATGAGTCTCCCAATTGAATAGAATTTTTATTATAAATAATTGTCTTGTAAATGGAATTTTAAAGCATTCTGAATGTTAAAAATAAAGAAAAAAAGTGTGCAAGAGAATAAGAAAATGACTACCTGCCAAAAAAAAAAAAATGTGAAGTTTTGTTTTATCGGCTGAAAAATATAGGAAATCCGTCTATATTTAAAGGAACCCACACACACAAAAGAACCCGATGTGAGTTGTCCCCTTTTCATTTTCACGATGTCTCTTAATCGTGTTTTCAAATTGATTTTGTGCAAAAACAATTATATTTTTTCCCATTTTGGTGCTGTTAGAACCACCACAAGGTAATTTTATGTAGTCCTGTGAAGTTTTTATTGAAATCGGTTGAAAAATGTAGGAAATCCGATCCAATATATAAACGTTACAGACACACACACACACACACACGCAATCTGCGTTTCATAATAAGTAAGATATATATTATGGACTTTCCCGTCGAGTTCGACGTATGAGGTTCCGACGACCACGAACTAATTATATGCATGCCTATGACGGACATGACTTTTGAGACCGGCTCGAGGACTGCACAAAAGACCAAAAAAAATACAGGAGAATGTATTGTATCCAAGTGCAGCAGGAATACTGTTAGTGTTAGATGTCTTATTTTGCTTTCTCATTTCATGTAGTCGACTGATGGTTACTTCTCATTGCAGCTATATCAATGTTGTACTTCTTTAGCTCCAATGCGACCAGAGCTGTTTTTCTTTCTGGTGCTGAGTTGTTGTCCTGGAAAGTTCGTACATTCCAAGTGCCAAGATGCAAGAATCACGATTAAGTTGATGTTTCGTAGAGTTTTTCGCAGTAGTCGGATATGTGTGGAAATAATTTAGATGTAGTTGTCAGAAAACCAACACAATGATTTGTTTCAATTGGTGAAGGCTTGTGTCGGACCATCCACATTTTTTTGATCTGTCGATAAAAAAGTAACGTTGCAAAAGACTTGCCATGGAAACCCCAAACGAGAGTCCTCATGTGTTATTATCGCGGAGTTTAACCTCTCCGGATAACAGTCAATACCAGGCAGTATACGCCTCTCGGCAGACACATGCAATATAATGACCGGTTTAAGCTGTCATGAGTTTTCCTTCCCATTTAAAGTCTTTTTATCGTGAAACCAAAACTAAAATGATTGCTAACCAAAGCTCAGAGAGTCTACTTTTACCCTCATCAAGGGCAGCCAGCCCGCGCCAGGTCTCAACATGGTACTTTACATAGTCTGTTTTGCCGTATCACAGCTTATCAGTATGGCTAGAGTTCCAACTGCTTCAAGCCGGGATCGAAACTCAACCGATTTTGCATCATCAGAGATTCTACCCCTAGGCTATCGGTACACGGCAGATAAAGGAAAATTTTGAACGTATTATATACATGAGGTAGCCAAGAGCGTTCAATTCATAACTGTAGAATGATGCATTATATATATATTTATATATATGTTCTTCAGTTATGAATCGAGCGCACTTGGTTACCTCACACACACACGCATATATATATAGCCTGATGTGCTATACCATTCAGATACAGACCAGACACTTCCCCCTCTCTCTCTCTCTCTCTCTCTCTCTCTCTCTCTCTCTCTCTCTCTCTCTGTATATATATATATATATATATATATATATATATATATATATATAAAATATTAGATCATTTTGGGAAAGAGCGAGTTATCTAGCATGATCAACAATTTGAACAAGGCAAGCACTCAAGCCCTCAGCAACGATGACTTGTGACTCTGTCTACTCAATTTCACTCACAAGGCTTGGGTCAACCGATGGTATGGTTTTCAGGCACTTTCCAAAAGTGCCACATGCTGGGATCGACCTCTCCAGTTTGAGAACATCAGTAAGTCTCCTTACTAACAAATCAACCATGATGAGATTCAAACCTGGGTCTCATGGTCAGAATGCAAACGTTTTAAGCACTTGGCCACATGCCCATACTGGCCATGTGCCCATAATGGTCATGTGCTCATACACACACGCACACACACACACACACACACACATATATATATATATACATATATAAATATATATATATAAATATACATACATTATATACATATATATATATGTATATATTATATATATATACACATATATATATGTATATATACATACATACATATATATATATATATTACATACATACACATATATATATTTTATATATATATATATATATATATATATATATATATATATATATATATATATATATATATATATATATAAATATTACCAACTACTAACAAGCGTTTAAAAAACTACATTACGTCATTATTTTTCTACAGATCCACTTTACATGGATAAGTTATCTCTTCCAAATACATTAAAATCAATATATATACAAAATACACACAAAATACATGTTAATGAAAAGTCAAACCAAACAATATATATATATATATATATATATATATATATATATATATATATATATATATATATATATATATATATATATATATTATTATTATGATTTTAGTTTAGATATTAGAACAAAAACATGTTGAAATCGCTACACAATAACTTTCGTGCTTTAGTATCACGTTGTATCTCTTCAGGCAAATAATAATTGACTGGGGACTAAATTTTTTAAAATTTTGAAAGCAAAATGTTACTTTTTTTCTCTCATTTGTATATATTTATATATATATATATATATATATATATATATATATACATATATATATATATATATATATATAATATTTAAAATTAGGAGATCAACCAACCAATTCTACCTTGGTTTCAACCTTTAGGTATCTTCAGGTGATTCAGATTAAATAATTTCCTAACACTTAATTATTTAAAAATAAATAAATGCACAACACTAAGCATAATAAAAGAGGAGGATAAAAGCAAATTGTATCGGGGTGGGGGTATATGAAATGTACATACTTTCATCCTGGTTCGTATGAACTCAATAGGACCTTTTTAGTGTGAATGCACTGTGTCATTATTTCTTACCTCTCATTTAGATGGTTTTTCTGGGTTAGAAATGTTATTATCATTAACTCTTCTTCCTGGCAAAGACTGCATACATTGCTATGATTGCTGTAAAGTTTAGATTTTTTAAAATTTCCCAATTTACAATCAGATCTTTCTTATTTTTTTCTTTTCAATTTACACACATGGCTGGCTAGTCATGTAGAATTCCAAAGTCTTTCTAGCTTGAATGATGACTTGTGAAGTCTTCTCTTCTTGAAGCTGTCTTCAGTGCACTCTAAATATATTTTGGTCTGGCCATTTGTATCTTTTACTTCTGCTTTATAAATTACTGCTTCAGTTTCCCAAACTCACTCTAGTGGACATATACTTTTATTTCTACAGCTAAATGTTTCACTGTTAATGATATCTTGCTGTATGTTAAGTTTTGAAATTCCTGATGTTTTGTCTTTTTATTGTGGTTTCTAAATTACTCATGTAGCTTAATTTAACTGTGTTTTTATTAAAGACTAGCAGTAGAGCCCGGCGTTGCCCGGGGACAGTAACAGTAGCAGATAGATCAAGTATCGACCATCATAAAGACTGAAAAATAAAATTGACAAAGATTATTGTTTAAGGTTGATGGACACGCATGTCTTAATTAGTTTTTTTTTTATGAATTGGTCAAACCCAAACTCAAATAAAAACATTGTTTTCAATTGTTATGAGTCTACCGATTGAATAGAATTTTATTATAAACAATTGTCTTGTAAATGGAATTTTTAAAGCATTCTGAATGTAAAAATAAAGAAAAAAGTGTGCAAGACAATAAGAAACACTACCTGCCAAAAAAAAAAAGTGAAGTTTTGTTGAAATCGGTTGAAAAATGTAGGAAATCCGATCCCATATATAAACGAACACACACATACACAAACAACCTGGGTTTTATAATAAGTATAACTCGATATGAGTTGTCCCCCTTTCATTCTGGCGACAGAATCGTGCTTTATCGTGTTTTCAAATTGATTTCGTGCAAAAACAATTGTGTTTTTCCAATTTTGGCACTGTCAGAACCACCACAATGTAATTTTACGCAGTCCTGTGAAGTTTTGTTGAAATCAGTTGAAAAATGTAGAAAATCCAATCCAATATATAAACGTACACACACACACACACACACACACACACACACACACACACACAGAGTCTGCGTTTTATAAGTAAGATCTTGTGTAATTTGAAATTTTTGGTGAAATATTTATTAAGTTATTTGAAAAATATTTTCCCTATTTTACATTTGACCTCTGACTTAAAAGGGGAGGTTAAGCCAAATAATATTTTTCTTTTCTTTGAATTAGTCTTCATTTGTTGTTTTGTTTGAGTTTTAAATTCCAGTTTAGTTTTATGACCCTCTTCTTTTAAAGTCTTTTTGTAATGTTTCTTTGTATCTTTGAAAATTATTTTACTAGAAGAATTTCTACATAACTTGAACTCTATGCCTTTTTAAAGTACATTCCTAAAGGTATAGAGTCTAGCTTTATATGTTATGCACAAACATATATATGTGGCATATTAAATATTTCCCACTAACATCACTGAAATTAATTTTAATCCAGGTAAAAGCTAGAATTTCAGATGTTCATTTTTGAATTATTAACATAATGTTCCTTTTTCCCTCTGTGACCTTATGCCAAACTTAACTAAGTTTAATAAATATTTCAATGTGTGTTTGTATGTTTTCAATGGGTGCCGTAACAATCTTTGGTGATTTAATTCTTTCCTTTCTTTCATTTAATTTCCAGTTTTATAGCTTTTACTCTTTATTGTCATGCAGACCTTTCTAAGTTTTGACTTTTTCTCCTGACCTAAAATGTTTTTATGAGTTCAGTTGCTTGTCATTATTTTTACCAACAAGGCAATGTATCTCTTCATTCAGTGCTCTTTAATGAATGATAGTCTAGCTTCAGTATTTGCCAAGTGGTAACATTATAAGAAAGAATCAATAATAGAAAGTAATTATTGGCCTTGATCAACACAGCTGTTCAACTTCACAAAAATATGATTATTAAACACAGACTGATATGTTGGTAGATTTTAAATGGATCACTTTAGAGAAACAACGTATCTAAAACTCATCTTATGATCTTGCCTCTTTCCTGTTGTTTTAGCCTGTGAAAAGAAACACAATTTCTGTTCATAGAAAATGTTAGGAACTGAATTGAGAAATTAGTATATTGCAGTTAGAAGAGGAAATATATGTGGTTAATATGGTAGGGACAACATTTGGTACTCAAACAGAATAATAACATCTGTTCATTTGCATATAGCCGTATGTGTATACACACAGACATAACCATATTCATCTATATTTATATATTTACATATATCAATATAAAAAGGCAATTATAAATTCTCAAAAATAATCACATGAGTGCATATATTAGGTTGTTTTAAGCTTGACATTAATCCACATAGATTATGTAGATCAGTTTGAAATATTACAATCAAAACTTATTGGCTCATTTGATAAATAGGAAAAGTGACATTTTGCTGAGTCTCAAAAATCTTTTCTTCTTCACATTTACCCAGCTTATTTTTATATGACACAAGTTGAAAAGGTGGCAGGAAGACTGTGTTGTGTCAGTTATCCAACTGGGGATAGATGGCCTACTTTGAGTAAAAATTGCAGTAATTCATGCCAGGAAATATCAGTGGTTTGACTTGAATTTAACGTTCATCAGGGACCTTGACCTAAAAAGAGTTGATCTGTGGCAATCCCAATATGTACTGGGTTTGCCCAAATATATACCAAGGTAAGTTTTGTACTCAGTGTCACCTCAGAAAGAAGACTTAGAAGCTTCAAGGGTTGACTTAAATGGTAACTTCAAAGCTGCCAAGTGTAAAATCAGGTCTCAAAGGATGTTGGCAGATGTATCAATATAAACATTATTTATTGGACATTATTTTTATTTGTGTGATTCACACACAATAGAGTGTCCACTTCCACAAATAGTGAATGTTGAGTCTTATACTAAGTTAAAACTTTATAACAGTTTCAGACTCCCTGTCCATACCCACTGCCATTTCATATGCTTCTCCTTTATAAACCTTTTTTTCTGAAAAGATACCTTGCCAATTACATACCAATGCCTTGTAACCATCTATACTAATCTATATGGGGTCATAGTGAATCCACAAGCATCCCTGTGCAAAACCCTCAAACCTTTCCTCTAGATCATGAGCAAGTTATACATGCATATCTTGTACTGAAGCATCCATGGCTTTCAGCTTGGCTCTTCAGTTGAGTTTCCTGCATGAAACTCTCTCTTTGTAATAATAATAATTTCTCTGGATGCCAAGCCCAGAATTGATTGCTTTGTTGTTTGTTTGTGTTGTTGTTCATGTTAGTTTGTTTTGCTGTTCATGTTTGTTTTTTTTAATTGGAGCAGTTACGCTTTCCTATCACCTGGTTAATACTCCTCCTCCTTCTCTGGAACAGGTTTAGGGGTTCATGCCTTGTTTTCTGTTTAGGAAGAGGTTCCTGGATCCTTTCCTTTTCTCTGGCCTTAGTAGTGGTGCTGTCATGAATCTCTTGTGATGTTTGTGCTTTGTAGCAATGTCTCTTCACACTGAGGATACCGGGTTGGCAGTTTTCTGGTTACTGTTCCCAACTGGTAGTTAGGATGCATTGATCAACAGTTGCATAATATCAGGGTTCTTGTAGTGCCTTGCCATGTCATGCATAGATGGGTTTCCCTGCATACACTTTTGGTGGGAAACACCGAGGCCACACTATATTACACTCTGCACCAGTTCATTTCTGCCCATGTTATATTTGATAACTGACTGCTACTATTACACTAGTCCTTTTATCTATCAACATAACTCATCATGACCATAAACAACCAAAAATATAAACCTAAACCAGCTCAACAAAAATCACCTAAACCCCTTAACCTTTCCTTCTCCAACATCCGTGTTATTCATACTAACTTCTGCAGTGTAGAATCATTCCTCTTTGAAATGTCTCCTGATATACTAGCTCTCTGCGAGCCTAACTTTAACTTTTCAATCCCTTCCTCTGATTTCTCAATTCCTGGTTACCTTCCTTTCCTTAGAAAAGACTCTAAAGTCCACATGCATGACCTGGGAGTTTATGCCTGCAATCATCTCTTGCTGGCCAGGGAATTCTCTTTTGAATCTCCAGGCTGTTCAAATATGTGTTTCTGTCTATCTTTCCTTAATTCAGTAAGCTATCTCTTCTTTCTCTACCATTCCTTTTATTTCAAGACCGTTGTGTGCTCAGTAGTATTTCTGATAATATGGACAAGGCCATCTCCCTACACCCATTTGCAAACATATTCGTGTTTGGTGACTTTAACGCCCACCATACCCGGTGGCTCAAACACTCTGTCACTGACCTCACTGGCATCCAAACCCTTAACTTTTCAATCACTCTATTCTTCACATAAGTGGTTGACTTTCCTGTGCATTTCCCCAGTAACCGGTATGGTAACACCTCCCTTCTCAATCCCTGTTTTATCTCTATCACTGACTCCTGTCATGCTACAAAGCTCCGCCCTCTTAGCAACTCTGATCACACAGTAGTTTCTGTAAACATCTCCTTCTACTCCCTCTCAAGCCATGAATGTCCTACCAATAGAATATGTTTCTGTTATCAATGTGCAGACTGGGATTCATTCTGTGATTTCCTTTGCAACGTCACTTGGAATGTTTTTAATCATCCCATTCAAAAATGTCAGTCTGAGGTTTCCTCCTGAGTAAAAGCCAGCATTGATGCTTTCATTCCAGCAAGGACATACCATTTAAATCACGCTTATCTCCTTGGTTCTCACCTACTTGTTCAGCTGCTATAGCACGCAGGAATCACTTCTTCTGGCTCTACCAGAGCAATATGTCTGATTGCAACAGACGTCTCTTTGTCTCTGCTCATAATGAGTGCAAGCATGTCTTCAATGAAGCAAAATTACTGTTTGCTGATAGAATGAAACAATGTATTGCATCTCAAAAGTTTGGTTCTAGATATTATTGGCAGCTCTGCAAGACAACAGCAAATCCTCAATCCCTCCTCTAGTCAATCAATTCAGAGTCCTAACATCCACAGCAGATAAGGCTGAATGCTTTGCTCGGAAATTCTCATCCAACTCAACACTCATCTGTATTGCACTCACCTGATTTCTCCCCTAGAACTGAGGCTCTACTGAGTGATATGTGCATAACTCTGTTGATGATCTTGGACATCATCTCTAAATTAGACTCTCATAAAGCCATAGTACTAAAGAAATGTGCTCCTGAGCTGGCTCCAGTTCTCTCCAAACTATATAACTATTACCTCACTGATTCTTGCTTTCCAGCCTGTTGGAAGTCCTTCTCTGTCATCCCTGTTTTTAAGAACTCTGATCCTTCTGACCCCTCTAACTACTATCCTATCAATCTTTTACCACTCTTCAACAAAGGATGATTATTTGATTTAATCCAATCCAATCATTTCTATCAAATCGTGAAATGATGGTCATCCTAAACAGGCTTTTTTCCAGTTCCTTTGATACAAACAACTACATTCAATAAATAGATGCATCTACCACAAGGAAAGTTGGTTCTCTATGTCGTGCCAGAAGGTTTTACTTGTTTGAGTTCATCCTACACCTCTACAAATCTTCCATTCATCCATACATTGAATACTGCTGCCATATATGGTCTGGTACCCCTGCTGTTCATCTTGAGGTTCTCAACAAAATCCAGAGATGGATCTACAATGTAATTGGTCCTGACTTGGCATCTCGGCTCCAGTCACTTACCCACAGATGGGATGTAGCTTCCCTGTGTCTTTTCTACAAATATTTTCATGTCAACTGCTCTGGTGAGCTATTTTCCTGACTACATGGATTTAAGCATGCTACTAGGTTGGCATCTAGATCTCACATTTTACTGTTAAAACAGTTAAATGTAACTGCCTCTTTTACTCCAACAGCTTCTTTTCTCACACTTCCCGACAGTGAAACTCTGTTCCTCTTACTTGCTTTGCTGATAACTACAATCTTCAAAACTCTAAGTGTAATGTCAATTCTCATCTTCTGATGCCTTGATCCCCATTTGTTATCCTTTCCTCAATCCCCTCTATATCCAATCTTTTCTTTTACTTTCACTCTGTGAAAACCTTTGTGTACTAATGGCACTCCTGCCTTGCTTGGGGTGAAATGCTTAAAAGAAAAAAGAATCACCAGACCAGATGTGGCAGCAATATTCAATGCATGGACGAATGGTATTTGCCCTCAGTTGAGCAAAGAGAATAGTAAAAAAAAAAACAAATTGGGATGGGCAAAATGGTAAGAGTGTGTTGTGCCAATTTTCTAAGTAAGAGAAACATGCCTACCTTAAAAATCAGCATTTTTGACCCTAGGCTCAGACACTCAACTCTAAACTAGCTCAGAGCTGAAACAGACTCAAACAAGAGATATTTACTGGAGGAAGATGATCGTGCTTGAAAATCAGCATTCAAAATCCTGATTTTAATTGAGTTCAAACACTGACCTCTGGTGCTGATAAGAAATTGACAACTATCTCACCCACAAGGTGGGCCCAAAGAATAGATATTTACTAAGTTTTGTTTAGTCTAGCACAAGAACAAACATTACTCAAAGAAATGCTGGTTGTAAGAGTATGTTGCACCAATTTTCCAAATGAAAATCTGTCTAATTGCCTTGAGAATCAGCATTCAAAATCCTGGCTTTTACCTGAATTAACTCCAACCTGTAGTACTGGTAGGAAATAAACAACTGCATATTCACAATAGAGGCCTATGGAATATAGTTTTAGAAAAGTGAGGAAAACAGAATATTGTAAAGAGCCCCAATGTGGGATTGATCCTTAGAAATATAGCAACTGTATACCCAGGAAAAAAAAGCAAGCAGCGATTGAGGTCAAATGTTAACAACCCCTTAAAATCTGACCTTACAAAAAACTGTCTGGAAAAAGTCATAACTGATGAATCTTGATTAGTAAAGTTGAAAAACTGGCATCTGCCCCACAACAATACTGGTTTCTCCTGAAATGCCACCCTTGGAAAGTAACAAGGTTACAGTAGCCAACAGTGAGCTCATCAAAAAATTCAAATCAAAGTTTAATATTATTTAACCTACAAGTAGAAGAGTGCCAAAAAAGAATTTTAATTTCTATCTTTATGTTTTTCATCCACTTGTCTTTTATCTCTGGCTTATTGTCAAATCAAAAAAGAAATTCCAACCATACATCTATAATAAAAACAGAACTTCACCCAAAAAGAGTAGATAGGTTTGTCTATCATCCAATTCACACTGCTCCCTGGTCTTTTGAACAGTAGAGATTTATATCTTGTTTCCTGTTTAGGATTGGGTTTCTATATTGGTTGATTTGTTTTCTAAGGCTTATGAACCCTGTAAAGATTTAAAGCCAGAAACATTTTTAGATTGTAAGAATTTTTTTTTGAGATAATAGTGTTTTAGTGATATTAATTAAGCCATAGCTGATGGGGAGAATAAGTGGATTCATACCTTTCCCAAAGTTATTGGTGCATAAGTGAATATAACAAACCTAATGGGAATTTGAACTCAGCTCTCTGATTAACAACTCTAAACCATTATCCATTAAACTATTTGTACATCCAAGCTTATAGCACCTAGTATTCCTAAGCAGTCACCCATCTAGGTAAAAATCAGGCTCAATGTTGCTTAACTTTGGGTGTAATACAGGAACCAGTGTTTTAATGTGATGTCGCTGGGTTTCCAGTTCCTTCCAAAGTTTATTCATTCTCTTTCACTCCCAGTAGTCCCTTGCATTTTAGTGGTATTATCACCTTGTTTGGGGTGAACTGATTAAAAAATAATAATGAAACAATTTAATCAAGATCCAAGCCTAAAAATTATGTGAAATCTAACAATATTCCATGAAAAAGAAGTCAAGATTCAATAATCAATTCTCACAAACCCAGCCACGTAACAATCCTTCTTCCCCTTTTTTTTTCAAAATAAACCTTGCACTAAAAAGAAATAAAGATAAAATGTAAAACTCAACAGAATCAACATAGCAAATTGATTAATGAGAAAGATACCATTAATTAGATTTCTCTCACTTGTTACTTGTAGACATAAGTAAATCTTATTCCTGGGCAAAGTTCCATGACCTTAACAAAATGTCTCTGTTAGCTTTTTCTTTAAACATGTGTAACCAAAATCAAA